AAATCAACATAACCTTTTGTCTCATCACTGGAAACRGGAGTATAGGCTCGAATCACCAGGTTACCATCAATTTTTGCAGAAAGGTAAACATGCTGRCCTGGGGAGAAAGAATTACAATCTGATTACTTTTTTCATCCCTGGAGGACATGAGAGAAAGGCAGGTATTGTAACCTGCTACACATGCAATGAAGAGAATCTTTGCCACAAAAATGCTGTGTGAAACATCTTCTTTCAGCACAGGAATCTCCCAGGAGGTAATATGGCCTATACAGTTTCAGGATCTTATCCCTAAATTCTTAAGAATGAAGTCTGGATAAACACAAGCACAGCAGGRCATGTCTTAGTTGGTTTATCATTTGTCTAGCTAATTCAGACACTCCCACTACTCTTTGCCACACAACCCAGAAGAGAATTTGGAGAAAGCAAGGCACCCTCCACAGGCAGCATGCAAGGACATGGTCACAGCATGGAATGGGATGACCCTGACACATCGAGCACAGAACAAACAGGGCTACATGAGCCATATCTGCAAATCAGAGAGAGACTTTCCCCTGCAGAGATTGTCATTGAGTCAAGGTCCAAGGTTCAGTGCTATCAGTGTTCCAGGGTACACAAAAGAAGGCCAGTCCTGGGCTGAAATTCATGCTACAGAACTCCAAATAAAGTTGCATGGAAATGTGTGTAATTCAAAGGAAATGCATGCACAGAAAAGGCTCTGAATATTTCAGCATCTTCTACATACAGCAACTGCATTTTCCCCACTAATTACAAGTTTCCCAGGCTGTAGAGTTGTTCCCTTTCTCATTTGCAAGCATGACTGTCTCTGCCAAAAGCATGAGGGCAATTGCCAATAGACTGAGGGGACCAGATGGAAGTAGAATGCAAATAAGAAATATCAAAAAGCTTCAACAGATACCACTCTTGCTTATATCCTGACTGGTAGTGAATTCCATTAGGCTCAGCTCAGTTTCACTGCTCCATTTCTAAACTACACCACACAACTGAATACAAACAGGACAAAGCACTCACAAAAGATCAGAAACACAATCCTTTGGGAAACTTAGCATTTTTCTTTGTGACAGCAGCATTCAGATGCAGCTTTTAACTCCTTGCTTTGCTGAGCCTTAAATTCACAAACAGTCAGAAATCCAAGAACTATAAGAGACTAAAAATAAAAGTAATTAAGCATTTTCAGCACTTACCTACAGGTAGTCCTAATATATGATYTGTTGAAGGTAGCCCAAACCTGAATTTCTTGGTATCATGACTGATTTCCTATAAAATCCAAAGTTAGAATGAGGTCAGCATCACCACTGCTTTGAATTTCAAACTCTACTCAACACAATATACTTTAGCAAGCCTGCTCTTTGTTAGCAAACAAGCCAAATAGTGGGAAAGGACACAGAAACAGCTTCAAAAACTGAAATTTAAATAAATCAGAAGTTTTAGAACTGTGTCTCCTCTTTAATTCCACAAGGAGTGACTTTGCCTGCCTTCACAATCCCTACAACACCTTCACACAGATAAAATCAGGAAACTCTGTGCCTGTGCTCATTCCATGCCTGTGGCCAAAGATCAGGCAGGACCGGGCTTGCTTCTCGTGGTGCACCCGGGATAGGAAGCGAAGGACAAACAGGCAGGATTTAAACGTGCAAAGCAACGTTTCCTCGGGAAACACAGCGGGGCACGAAGGCTCCTGCTGTACCCGGGAGCAATCCAGGGCGGCTGCGGGGTCACAGCCATCCCTGGAGGGCTCTGTGCCCGCTCTGGGGATTCGATCCC